ACACCCAGCTGAAAAGTATGCTGTCATAAAGGAGGAACTGAACTAAATCTCCCGTTAATTATATTGTGCAATCGGATGTGCGGCAAAACCGCTGGCCCGCATTTTTATTTCGGCGAGATATTCGAGATCTCACAATATATTTTCTTGGCGGACCATCCTACTCACGAGATTTTTCGACAGCCCTTTGACACTGCCGTTAAAAAACCCCTAACGGAAAAACGGATGCCTTTAGTGTGCTAACTGTGACAGCCTAAAGCCTGAAGCCTTCAAAGTGATTTAAAGAACACGACATTTGGGGGTTGACAACATGTGTGTTGCACGTGAGCAACGAGTGCACTCAACCCGTAATCTTCCAATATAACTACTATCGCCAATCACAGCTGATGAACTGTAGTCAACTTACCGAATAACAACGAAACTGATTGTTTATCAAGCACCTAAAATTAGGCGATTGATAACCCTCACAGATGCGGCCACTACAAAATTTTCGGTGGATTACCATTATCCTACTGTTTTCAATTTAAGTAGTGAGACAAAATTGCGAAAATTCCTCGGCAGCCTGCCACGTACTGAGCCAAAAGACAGCGAGACTGGTTGTCCCTGGGTGGTTGTTCAGTACATTCTAAGAGTTTAAATCTAAGAACCAAGAACAATTTAAGGAACAGTTGCGTGACGAAATCTCGAGGCACCTTGTGCATCGTACATTTTACTGTATAGTACCAATAGGCTATCGGATACATTAAATTCTGTAGAGGTGACTTTTTTTACATCGATTTTTCAGTCCGATCGCTTTGAAATCCCTCTAAAAGGAGCACTCTCTCCGGTTCTCCTCTGATGGCCTGTTGGAAGTTCATACGACGTAAAATCAGCGTTCATAGCTGTGAAAACACCAGAAAGAAAATACCAGGAATAAATTATTCCAAGAAGGTCAAAACAATCAATACTGTCGGCAACCAGTGTTGGATGTCAGAAATATCAGTAGTGTAATACAATCATTTAACGCTGGTTACATGTCAAGATTTATGCTATGATATGCACGACAGCCTGGTATCGACGCAAAACTCGAAGCAACTGAACGTGCAAGTAACCGATTCACCAAGGTGACAGGGAATCCGAAATGGGTGCACCACCCTCAGAGGAAAACTTAATTTGGTATGATTCGTACCAAGGATAAGCTGGCCTTCCACAAATTCTAGTCTTTTGATTGCGGGTACTTCAAAAACGGTGTAAGGCGCGATGCCCAGTTAGGAAGGACTGCAATATACGGGGATAAACTAAATGAATACCTTCGAAACCACGGTCACGAAGGTGTTGTCACCAACAAGGCCGCCCAGTGCCTGATTCTGACGAGAATGGGCCTGACTCCACGACTCGCCCAGTATAACGCAGATAAAAGCTTGGCTGAGCGGGAAATTCCAGTGCCCGGTGGTCCCCACAAGAGTCGCAATCACTCGTGCACCTGACTGACAAGCCATATCTGTCTTGTGACACGCTCTCGGAGCTGTTCCTCAAACTGGAACGCTATGAGAATCCAAACAAGGTTGTGGGTGCCTAACTGTAAAGCACATTCGGACGAACCGTTGGGTCACTCAGACTGTAGCTACCCAGTCACCCACATAACTGACTGTTCAGCTCACGGGCGCTCACTGGATCACGAGACTTGTTTTTTTTCATACCCACAACCACGTCACATTAAGGTGACTCATCGGACATCGATTGTCTGTACCGTTTAGTGAGCGTAGCAACACCTCGTGTGCTGACACAC